GTATTTTTAGTAGAGACGGGGTTTCACCATGTTGACCAGGATGGTCTCGATCTCTTGACCTCGTGATCCACCCACCTTGGCCTCCCAAAGTGCTGGGATTACAGGCTTGAGCCACCGCGCCCGGCCATATTTGTAGTCTTTATCCCTCGCCCCACTCCCACTATTCCCCCCAAGTCAGCACACTCCATCGTATCATTCCTATGCCTCTGTATCTTCAGAGCTTACCTTTTAATACTCAGTAATATTTTTTACTAAGGCTTGTAACTGTGGGTTAATAATTGATTTTAATATATACTGGAGGAGTTGGGAAAGTTCTCAATAAATATCATAAACATTTGTAAACAAGACAGAATATTTTTTCAGTGACATTATTACAGTTTATAAGTAGAAATGAATATCTGCAATTTATGTGGAAAACCAGTGTTCTTTGTAAGAAATGAAATTGCACCATAAATATAAATTAGAAAAGAATATTTTATTTTATGGGATTTAGTAGTCTGCTTTAAGAGGCATGTCAAATTTCTTTTAAAACAATAATCTTAAGTTTATACTTTTAAGCTTAAAGTTGATATCATAAGAGATACCATGCCTTTGTAAATGTAAGCTATGACAGTAGGTGATCCCTTTTTAAGGATATAAGTAGTCTCTGGGATATTCACATGACATTATTCAGCAATATAATTTTAATGCAAATACTTTTTAAATTTTTTGAGCATTACTCTAGTCAGAAAGGAAACATTTAAAATATATTTGAATGAGAATAAATAATTTTTTGCAGCATTTTCTAATTTGAATGCTTTTCCCACATGAATAAAACTAGACCACTTTAAAATGTTTCTCTTGATTTAGAAATTATATCTGCATACTTAGATTCATTCTTGCCAGTAGAAATATAGTATTAAGCAGATTTTTGAAACAGAGTGTTTGGAGATATAAAGTTTGGACACCAGAGTCTCAAGAATTATGTACAGGCAGTGCATCAAAAGCAAGAAAACCTTTCTCCCTTGATTGTGTAAAATTCAGTCTATTTACTTGATATATGTATGAACCCTACATTTTATCAGAAAAGAAAAAGTATTATTGCAAATGTATCCAATGTTCTCTATGATGAGGTCCAGGCTCATTGACAAAACTCCCTTTTAACTTCCTTTCATTTTGAAAATTATGGGTATTTTTATTAATCAGAAGAAATTTGGCAAAGTCCAGTGTTATTTTACATTGTTTATTTTATGGAAGAATTTAAATTATTCAACCATTGAAATTTTCTAAGTTGGAAATAGTTATGTTAAAATGAGAAAGAAGCAGCGAGGGAAAGAGTGAGAGAAAGAGAAAGATTGTACATATTACCAATCAGATAAAATTACAATAGATTAAATATAAACTCATGTATTAGCATGGACATCAACTTTCCTGAGAACATAGAGTGTTGTTTACTTATGCAGATATTTGGTTACTGAAAATCTCCTTTTTAAAAAAAAAAAAAAATAGGGTCTGCTTTCTCTAATTTCCCCTTTTATTATTTTGCTTCCATATTGCCTGCAATGAGATTATTTTTACTGAGTTCTCTTAGACCCCCATAAATTAGGCAATGAAAACAAAAAAACAAAATCCCTAAAAAACACATGGGATTAATACTAAAAAATAGCAAAATTTTCTGAGTTGAATACCAATAAACTTGTATATTTACTATTTCAATTTGAATTTATTAGACGCCTGTTTTGTTATAGAGATTACTTGTTGTTTTAATATTGTTATGTAATTTACTAAAAGTGTGTTAGGAAAAAATATTACAAAACTAATTAAGCATTCTCACTTAAGCAAAAATATTTTCAGCCAATAACTTCTTAAGTATTTTCTCTTTGGGCTTATATATAAGGGAATTTATTTTTATTTTTTCAAATTTTGAATATTTTTATGTTTCTTCAAGACTGATCTGCCAATTTAAGACCTGCCAATCTCCTCACATCTTACACCATCAGGACCATTCTTTTTTGGTTAATGGAAAAATTTGTATAAAGTGGATAATCTTATAAAATATAAATATGCATATATATAAGAACTGTAATTATTTTATTTCACCTTAAAGTATGTAAGTACACATTTGTGCATCAACCTATTAGCGTAGTTTCTAGGTAGCAAATAATTTTAGGTATGTTGTGGTAACAATTTTAGGGGTAGCCAAGGAAGGATGAAGACATCAGAAGATCCCAGACCAAGGCTGGGCACAGTGGTTCATGCGTGTAATCCCATCACTTTGGGAGACCAAGTCAGGTGGATCACCTGAGGTCAGGATTTCGAGATCACTCTGGCCAACATGATGAAACCCCATATCTACTAAAAATATAAACATTAGCTGGGTGTGGTGGAGTGTGCCTGTAATCCGTTTCTCAGGATGCTGAG